CCATGTTTTAGAGTTACCTACATCAGAGTGGCAAAAGTGCTTCGGAAATTGGTTCGAGCCCATGCAAAAGTGTATAGATCTTAATGTGGAGAATTTTGAAAGGCAATAAAGCGATTTCCAATAAATGATATTTGTTTCTGTTCCCAAATCTCAAAATATAAAAGGCAGCCTACGGTGACCCTCTAATAAGAAGGACGTAACGGACATGAAGCGGATTTTCCAACCCTTCGGGAGTGGCAAGTAATGTGGGACACAAGTAACTTCTTTGTGAGCTATCTCATATCCTTTCTCGAGCCATGATATGCAGAATTTTTCAAGGAAATTTCTTCGAAGCAATACAAATTTTCATTTGTGGTTATTTTCGTGCGCGAATTTTCCTTGTGCGGAGGCCAACTCAAAAACACGGCGGAGACGTCTCTTCCTGATCCTGAGCTCTATTCTTCTCCCTTCTCCACTTTTTTTTTAGCTAAAGCGTACCGTAAGAGAAAAGTTTCCAAATTTTGCTCTCGCTCTGATTTGAAAACACTCTCGAGACATCAATGCCTTTGAATATGACGGGCTTGCAAAGAAGGATCCAAAAAGCCTCCTTCAGTAATGACACTTTTCCTTAAATGTCTTTCACCTGCCCCAGTAGAACTCGCATTGAAGGTCACTCAGGATCATTACGTCACTAGGTTGTCTCGTAAGGGTTTTACTAATTTGGAAGACCAGTTTGCAATCGGCTTCATCTTCATGTGGAAACCAATTCACCATTATGAGCTATTTTGTAAATGCAATATTGGTAACCTGAGAAAGGGTTACCTGTAGTGTACAGTGACGGTACAGTTGGGATCAGCTGCACCGCGATCACAGCGTACTTTGACTTTGATGGTGCCAACGTTTTCGAGGCACATGTAATGGGCTGGGTCGAACCTGAACAATTTCAACTGGTTGGTTTCTCGGAATTGCAAGTCAACATTTCTGTTTGAACTGGGAATTATATGTGACGTACTCGACAACGACTACTTCGGATTTCTTCACTAATGGCTCGATCAGCTCTTCCGCTTTTTTCTTCAACTTTTTCTTTGTGATATCTCCTTGACCGACAAGTTGACGAGTCGCCTAAGAGCCATCTTTTCCATGTGAAACGCATACAATATAGACCATGAAAGCCACCTAAGACTTACCTGAATACGATAAAAAGCTCGACTTTTCTTCTGACGACTGACTACCCGTTCTGTCGCCAATTTCTCCAACTCAGCTACCGGAGCATCAGGATGTTGCGCACTACAATTTTCTTTTGTCATCAACTGCTTAGGTTACGGTGTTGTTCTACCAAGACGATATGATGTTGAGAATTGATGACAATAAGTTACCGTAGAGTTTTAAAGATTTCCAAATATTGTTTTCGGTGTTCCTCAAAAGCTATGGCATCCGCATCGGTGTTTGCTTGGATGAGAGACATTCTGTAAAAATAAGTTCGATTCGGTTTCGGAATGAATATCGACTTGCGGTTTCCGATCAGCCAAAGTAGACGGTTCCTATACTAATCTGACCGAGAAGCACCATAATAGAGCCCAATTAGAAGTTAAGGTAAAAATAAAAGTACGAGTTCTCTAGTTTACAGCTAATCAGGCTTCCGAAATGATCAGAAATCAGACTACCGACTAGGAAATTGTGTGGTTGACAGGAATGTTATTGCTGCAGTAAGTAAGCTCAATTTATTCCAGGAATTCAGTCAAAACCCTCAACAAAGTATATTCCCGCAGCTGTTCCGGAATTTCATATATTCGACATGTAATAATAAATAAAATAATTAAGTGAAGATGGTGTAGAGGCAAAGAAGCAAAAGCTGCGATGAGGTGTAGAACTGAATAAGGGGCAGACGAATGTTCACAAGGTGGATGGGGTGTTACCCGGTACTCTGCAATTTCATTCTACATGCAACGTATATAAAGTGCCACTCATAAAAGCGTGAATTGAGCCAAGTCGCTGCCACTTACGCGAATCCAGAAACAAATGATAAACCCCTGCGGCTGGCAAGAACATCCTATAGAAATTCTCAAAGAAGTCACCTTCATACTTAAGAACGTGATGGTCAGTCCTTTCTAAACTATGAATGGGAAACAGACGAGAACGACCATTCTCACCTGTGATCATCTTTGCCATTTTCAAGTGCACTCGTCTTCTCCTTGGTTGGACTGCGCCGCGATGAACGCCGCCGAGCGAAAAACGTCTTTACAGTAGTATCCAGCAGCCTTTAGTGAAAAATGATCAGAAGTGGTTTGAATTGATGGAAAAAGAGTTGGATTACCGTTGTCCGAATATTCCAGTGTAAGTGTCGGCGATATATGCCGAAAGGACGGTGAGAGGGAAGAAAACGAACGTAAGCACACCTTCCCAGACCTGAACATGGTCTACATTGTAGGTATACAGACAAACAATAGACTCGTGTGCACAATATTAGGGATAAAAACCTTTTCTGCCGATCAATTCACTGGATGAGCCCATACAATCGACAACCGTTCAGAAATGTAGTGACGATTGGATGGGCGCATATGTGGCCCATACAATGATTTGCGTGGGCAAGCCGATATAATATAAAATCGTGGTTTCATCTTCCCAGACGGAACTGTTATCAACCATGGGACCTATGCCTGACTGTTACTGATCCACAATTAGATCTCCGGACCACCCCTTGAAACTTGACCACCTGCGCATAATCACAGTCCACGATAAAAACGGTCCCGAGCTTTCTCCCTAGAATGAATCTGGCTCCCCTGCTTGAAAGGTAATGGGGAAGCCATGCCGCAGCCGCAGCTTCAGACTTGAACTCTGGCCCCCAACTACATTTTCAGAGGAAGAAATCTGTTAACGCTTCCTCTCTCACAAAGGGGCTGTTTGATCTGGAGATTGTAAAAGTCGGATTCGCAATATATGTAGTTCTAGATACGAATAAAGCAGGCCAAAATAATAGCACTGTTCTGGTTCAATGATAAAGTTCTTCGTTCTTACCTCGACTTCATTCGGACTGAATACGCACAGAATGAGATACAGCCAAATGTAAGCAAACGTAGACCAGACCACAGTAACCCAAAAAACGTGACCGTGCTGGACCCGTCGAACTTCACCGGCAGGTATCACCTAAATTTTGGGATGTTTGATCAGTTCGTAGCCAGAAATTGCTAGTTTTAAGTTTTAATCGGTCGAAAAACCATCTGCTTAATGATCGCTTTTATTCTGCAGTGTCATTAGTAGCAAGATTGCTTCGCAGGATTACTAGCAGGATTACTAAACCTTCAAAACACGCCAATATTTGAGTTTTATTATGAACTGTGAGGCTTACAAAAGGATATCACTCACTCCTCTGAATATCACCTCTCACTAGACTTCCCGAGTCAGGGGTTACCCAGGAAAGCGTTCTTGGCCAAAAGGCGCCCAGCCCCTTACTCTTTGAAGGTCGCCCCAGTTCCATCAATCAGACAACGCGTTGGGAAGGGGTCTGAGGTTAGTGGACAGGCTTCCTTTTCTGGGGATTGTGATAGAGGTATAGCCGTAATTGAGCTTCATCATTCTGTAGGACTCGCAGACGGGCTAGTGCAGGAGCCAAGCTCCGTTTTGAGATTTCATACTTGTTGCTGTCGACTGCAACGCTTCGGTCTCAACGTTTGTTCTGGCCACTGGTATATCATAAGAGATGCTTCAATATTGTAAAACCTTCCGGGATACCCATTTGGTTTGGCTCACAAATCGGGAAAAAAAATCAATGTTACCAATTGTTTTGCTTTATTAGTTTTTTAGAGAGTAACAAAAGAAACTGATCATTAACATTCGGAGAAAGGAAGTGACGGTCTGCCACTTAATCATAATGCAACAAATTTGGCAACCTATTTCGAGCGATGCATATATTCTCGACAGCCCCTAATCGTTGTATTCCATAACGGCCCTAGAACGTCTCTGAATCGGCGCTACCAAAAGAACAGCATTATCCCCATGAAGAATGCAGACCACTTTTCGAACAAAAACGGCTGTTTACTGGACAGCCAAGCGAATTCGCATCAAATTAGGTGCTCTTCCAGCAATTGTGTGAGCCCTGGAAGACGGAGCTCCGGAAAAACCAGCTCGTTCGCCTATGTGGTTATCTTTTATTACGAAACTGGGCAGAACATTGATTACTTTCGGTGTAGCACTGAAAGGACGAAGCGTCAGCTCCTACGGTGCCGGGTCCAGTCGTGAATTTCCTGATTATTCAGAAATGTAGCCTGCCAGTAGTTCCATATTGACAGGTATAGAAAAATACATCAAAAAGACTCACGTAAATACAAACAGCGATGATAATGAAGAGATTGAATGCAGCCGAACCAACAATCGTGCTAGGACCCAGTTCTCCTGAATGGGAAGAAAATGAAGGATAAATCATGAAATATCCCATAGCAAGAATTATGAAAGAAAATGAAGACCACAACGTTAACAACTACAAAAAGGTGCTTAAGAAGAGTCAGTTACCTGCTTCAAAATTGTTTCCAAAAATTTCAATGACTGAGAGAAGAATTTCTGGTGCTGATGAACCTCAAAGGTTGATGGATTAGTAGAAATTCGAACAGATATAGTACACTTCAAGATTCAGCAGAAATTAAAAAATGAAGGGGAAGGTTCCTCAGTAGGTCGTCAGCGATATAACCACTGAAAGGTTCTCAGCGTTACCAACAAAGATGGCCTAAGCGTACGGTAACCAATTTTCTGGTTGCACCAAGACACCACCTTATGGCCATCACTTACTTCTGATACAGAGTGAAAGCAACCAGACCCTGAACTAGAAACGAGAACTGTCTTTGTGGTCCTTTTCCCTTGACGCACAATACTCCTAGTGTAGCGATTTTATTGATTAATTGATTTGTATTGATTGCGTAAAGAGCTGTTGATTTATTTGTAGTGTGAACTCTGCTCAAGTTGAAAATAACCGTGAAGGTGAAGAGACAGTATATGAAAGACGGAATATATAAGTCTAAGAAAGCAAGGCTCAACGTCTAGGTCAGAATCCTCACTGTCATTGCTACTTTCCCTTCTCGCACTTCCTCGCAGAATTGACGGAAACTCACCGAGCGCCATGAGGGTCAAATTACTGACGGTTTCGTTCCAAACTCGAATAAGTATGGTGTACGGCTCGCCGGTGATTTTCTTCATTTTTACCTCCCTCTCTTGTGATGTGATCACCTCGATAGCTGCCATAAACCTGCAAATTGTCACTGAAAGTTTTATTTTTAACTCAAGAAAAATAAAGATTCAAATAAAACACATTTAGCACTATCGTTAGTTGAGTTTGTGACTACTTCAGCCCTACTGGTACATAGCTGAAATCAATAGTCTACATCATTGAGTCAGTTTCTTGGATACGATTCATTTCCTTCCTATCCTGCGCTATCAATCAAAATGATTAATCGTGTTAATCAGTTTTTAATAATCCTTCTTATTTATAAAGCAGTAACTTGGTGTGTCGGTTTGTAGGTTTGTCGGTTTGTCGGTTTGTCGGTTTGT